GCTCCAATACTTTCATAGGGGAATACTAAAACATAATTTGTATGTTTTCCCTAACCGTTGGTCTTCGAGATATCTAACAATCAAATTGAAGATATTTATCATACTAGTTGATAAGAAATATACTGTCAAATAATTTTTATTCGACGTATCACCGTCACATAATATTCAAGATGGATGAAGAAGATGGAAATCATCTTCCACTTGTCTATTCACAGAAGCAAAAGCGGAAGATTGACGATTATAGTTTCTCCTTCGTTGTCACACCCATGTGATAATAAACCAAAAAGAGACTATTGAAAACAATTAAAAACTATATTATCATATAATATTATATACAATATTTTATCTTTTTATGACGAGATATAAAAATTAATTTGAATAACTTTTTTGACTATTCATGTTCATACTTATATATCTCGTTGAAAGTATCGTGTCGGAAAACTTCTCTCGATCTCAATCTTCATATAGATGACATATCGAGAACTCGACGTTACGATCTTAGAAACATACAACCATACGTATAAAGATCTGGATCGTATCGGACTGATTAAGATGCAAACGACTTCTTTTCATAACACTATTAATACATCACATATATTTTAAAACTTATATATATCATTCTTTATTTCACTTAATATCCAATTAACATATTTAGATAATATTCACAAATAACCGAGTTTTGACGGTTTAAGCTTTTAGATATTTTGATCAAATTATTTTTTATCAATAATGTGATTCAGACTATTAATAATTACTAAGAGCCGATCCCAAAAAAAACAAAAAAAGACACGTCGCGACCTGAAATCATCAGGTGCACCCACAGATTTCACATCTCAAGTGCAGTGCAGGTGGCAAAGAACAAGAAGGAATCCGAGGAGTCATTTTGTGTCCCCTACATCCTTTTTACACTCCACCCACAGATGGTGGAATTGCGGTCCCGTGCTCCGACTCCTACAGGTTTGACAGAATAAAATAGGCAATACTAAAACATAATATGTATCCGATGTTTCCCTAACAGTTCAAGTCTACCAGACATCTTAACAATCAAATTCAATACAATTTTTTATCATGCTATTAAAACAGATCATATATTTTCAGACCTATATATATATATATCCTTCTTTATTTCACCAAATATCTTATTAAAGCTAGGCAGTAATTGTTGTGGATGTAAGCATCCTTGTAAAGGTATGCTACTGCTTGGAGGACTTCTTTTTGATGTGCTCTGTGAGGGGTTCTGGACCTGAAAACCACAAAGAACCCAAAGCTTCACTCGACAAAGAATAAGAAAAACAAATTGATGAATTATGTCCCTGACAAGTCATTTAGCACACATTTATTAGAGTGTTCATTCATTATGAAGATAAACAGCTTCGCACTCAGGCCTAAGTAGTAAAAGATCTTCTAGGAGGAGGAAAAGAAAATTAATTAGTAATAACCGAACCATTATTGTGCCTCGTAAGCAAATTCGAGATGAAAAACTGGAGGCTGGGGTTTACAGAAATTTGTTTAAGAAGCATAAGTTTCAGGCCAAGGAGGGATTAGAACATTTGCTGAATGACTATAGTACAAGAATATGTCAACTCCTATTCACTAAAATTTGGATCATGCTAGTTCATGCGATACTTTATTTTTGACTCATGGACTCACCAACTATAATAATGTCTATGTTTTCAGATGTGCTTGCAACAGAGTCAGGGATCTTGATCAGGAGAGAAAGTGGTCTGTTGAGCACTGTGAAGGAAGAGGTTTACATCAGAATTTGCGTCAGTGCTTGCTGTCAGCTGCTGCATGCTACATCAGGAATGGAAGGAATACGAGGAATTTTCAGCAGAAGATGTAGCTGAGAAGTAGCTCCAGATTGTAAGCATTTAAGTAGCAGTATCCATTCACTGAAAAGGAATTGCCTGCTACTCTAATAATTTGAGACACACTAAGACTGTTAAAAAGAAATTTTATTATTTTATGATTCAATTAAATGCTTTTCATGTTCACGACATATTTGATCTTCACTAACAATAATTTCATATAAGCATAAATATCGTCACTTATGCTTACGTTCCGTGAAAAATTTTAATGTTGCAAACTAAGATATAGATCAAATTTATGATGTGTATCTTTCGATGTCATTTAGAAAGTCTTTATCTGATCTGTAGATGCATCGACGTCATTTCCGAAAACTATATCGATGTCAATATATAAGGAGAACTAGACTCATCTTTTTTTCTTTTCTATCCTTCACGGGATGACTATGAGCGATGGATTGGGGATCAAGGAAGATTGAAAATAGATATATAATCTCAATAACATCACATGACATGACTAACGAAAAATAAGAAAAGATCTATAATCTCTCGAAAACATCACATCACATATCCATATTGACTACATAAGAGATCATGTCTATTATAGGTGAGAGCAAAAAATCTAAGATAAGTACGTACGATAATTCCTCTCACCAAGGTCATCTCCTAAGTTGAACTTCTTTTCAATCGATCAATAATTATAATTAAAATTTAATCATATTTATAATATATCTTATCTAGTTAAGATATGATCATATAAAATAATATTCTCTCACTTGACCCATTAATTTATAAAATATATAAAATAAATAAAATAAAATTTATTTAAAAATAATTTTATTTAATTGGATTCTAAATTTTTGAGAAAACATTTTACACGTACACACAAATTTTATAAAATAATCCAATAAACATAATAATATCATAATAAGTCTGATTACCAATATTAATCATAATGATTATATATCATCATTGTCATACTTATTTTTATGTACTACATTACTGTTTATCTGTCCTAGGATAGTTCAAAATGATCCATATAATTTATCTTATCAAGACAGTCCTATATTATATTAAATCATGTATATACATAAATATAAACATGATAATAAAAATAAATAACTTTAATTATTTAAATAAAAATATCAATTATGATGTATGCTCAAACATACATCATATCTATACATCATATCTTTAGATGAAGAGATGATCTATCATCTCTTAATAATGTTATATAATGTCTTTAAGATGTTATATCTATTTAAAGTGAAAGTAGAAGATCAAAGATAAATATTTACCCCAAGGGAAATCCTTCTTCTGGAGGCGGAGATATGGGTAAGGCTGCAAGAAAGATCGAACTTTGTGCCGTCAATCATCAACAAAGGCAAGTGGAGTTCCGAAATTAGATTAGACGAAGAGAACAAGAGCAACTACCGGAGGCTCGGGATGCTCGTGATGGCCCTTGGACAGATTATAGATCGAGAGCACAGCGCAGGTGACGATTCCCGCGATCGAGATCTTCTCCCATTTCTCCGCTTCATCTGCGGAATCGAACGAGAGTGACTGTCAATCCTACAAAATAAGAACCCCCCAAAGAGGAGATGACGAAGCCAATAGGAACATCGATGGCTTACAGGCTTCGTCATAACGAGCGGCAGAGGAGAAGCTCCTGGTGCCGAGCTTGGCCGCGCGGCTGCAAAGGGAGGCGACGGATCGGAGGCTTGATTTCGCCATCGGCATCGGCATGAGACTTGTTGAGTCTTTCTGTTACTCGCTTGCTAACAAGGCAGCGTCGCCACGGCAATGTAATTTCGTCAGAGGAAGTCTCCCGCGCTCCCTCGCGCTCTCTGGAAAACAAGCGGTATTCTGTTCCTGCGGTGTATTATAGAATGGAGAATGACAGCATATATGTTGTGAAATGTCATACTAATTTAGAATTATTTTAGAATACAAAGCAATTTAAGATTCTATTATAGGATAAATGATATTTTCGAGTTTTTCGCTAGTAATTAGAATTACAAGCCACGCCCGCGAGACAGCTGGTGTAGAAGCTTAAGTATAAACGGAATCTGGTTTAGCAGAACAAATCACATCAAGTTCAATTTCTATACAAATTAGAAGAATGGATCTAATCTGGCTCTGGAAATGATTCAATCAAACTAAGAAGAACGATCTAATCTGGCTCTGGAAATGATTCGATCAAACTAATAAGAATGATATTATTGAAAACCTTAATTGCCTTTTCGCCAATGCAGAAAGCACAAGTCCCTTGTGAGGGTAGGAGAGTACTGCGACCGTAGCAAACGGTGAGCGTTCATCTAAGGTATGATCGAATGGACAGAATAACTTTAAGATTCGCGTTAAAATGATATACTACTCATATATTGGTTGGTCATGCCGATGGGCCCGCATTTGCCCAGTCACACGAAAGGTCGCCTTTGGGGCAACGACATCGAAACTGGAAACGTCGATGCCTTCGCTCCCATCGGTTTTGCCGGTACTTTCTAACCGCCGCATCACCACCGCTGCGTCGTCCTCCACTTCCTTCCAAGACTGTCATCAACTCCGACAAAGTAGGAACCCACTCGCTACCATGGCCGCCGCATCTCGCCTCCGACGCCGCCGTTGCCGCTCCGAAGGCCCCTGCTCGCGCTCCCGGGCGGCGGCGGAAGAGGGGCCCACCGGGGTCATCTCGGTGAAGGGCGTCAAGATCTCCGGCCGCTCCCTCTACCTCGACATGCAAGCCACCACTCCTGTCGACCCTTGCGTTCTCGGCGCCATGCTCCCGTTCTATCTGGCCCGCTTCGGCAATCCCCGCTCCGCACCCACCTTACGGCTGCGAGTCCGAGTCCGCCGTCGAGGCTGCCCATGGAGATCTTCTTCACTTGGGGGCGCCACTGAGTCCAACAACGTCTCCGTCGAGGGCCTCATGCGCTTCGCCGCAAGCGGCACGTCGTCACCACCCACAAGTGCGTCCTCGGCTCCTGTCGCCACCTCCAGCAGGAGGGCTACGAGGTTACCTGCCTCCCCGTCCGCCTCGGCCAGCTCGCTGCCGCCATGCCATTCGCCCTGACACCGGCCCGGTCTCTGTCATCGCCGTCAACAACGAGATCGGCGTCGTCCAGCTACTGGATGTGATCGGGCGGCATCTGCCTCGAGAAGGACGTCTTCCACACCCACGCCGCCCATACCCTCCGCAAGATCCCCATTGACGTCGAGAAGATGGGGATTGGGCTCATATCGCTCAGGATGTTGGCGCACCCTGTAATCTGCCGCCATTTCAGGGTCCGAGTTGAGCCGCAGATGAGCGGCGGCGGCCAGGAGAGAGTTATACGGAGCGGGACCGTCCATGCCCGTCTAGCCGTCGGGATGGGGACCGCCTGCTAGCGAGGTTTTTGGCTCTGACATCGACCTATGCGCTGACTGACACATCAATTTTTATTTAATATAATTTTTTATTAAAATATTTAAGTTAAAATTAATAATAATATATTTATTAAAATTTTATAATCCAATCTTAATCTTATTTAATTTCAATGTAAAAGTAATATAGAAGGTAAAGGGGGGCTAGTATATTTTTACGAGTTCTTGTGAGAGAACTTTGATTACTTTCTGTTTTTATATGAATACCGATAGCTGATTTTTTTTTTTTTAATGATTGTGATAAGTTAAAATTAGCTCTTTGTTAGAATTGTTGTTTTCTGGCTTAGGGACTTCTGTTTCATCATTCATGAAGGTAATAGTTTTTCTTGTATTTGTGCTGCTGCTTTCCTCAGGTCTTTGCAGATGGTGAAGGGGGAACCAGGTGACTGATTTGTTGTCTCTCAGATATGGTTGGATTTTCCTAATTGTGTAAAATGTGACTGAAATATCCCTGTTGAAATTTAATCTTTACATGCCATTGATTGCAGTGAAGGTGAAGAATCACTAAAGATTGGCAGCGGTTCATCAGAACTCAAGCTTGAATCCATCTAGTTGTGTTGGTGACTGCCTGATGTTGAGCCTGACTTAGGTACTTGCTCTCTTATCCAAACCCATGTTAAACTTCATCAAATACTTATGCCTTTGTTTAAATGAGATAGGTCAAATGTTGGGATTTTTTTTTTCTGATCTGCTGTCACCCTTACCCTATAATTTGGAATCATGATGCTTAGGGTATGTTAAGAAGAATTAAAGATGATAATTATACTGTGGGTACTTGTCTATATGGGGAATCATGATAAAGATATGGAATAAACGAGAACGAAAGTATTTTTTATTTTTTGAGCGGATATAAGATGAGGACGGATATAATCCGTGTGATTCAAATCAAATTAGGTTTGATTGAACCAAATATTCAACAATAACATCCCCTATTGGATGAATGAATTCAACGTTCAATCATTGTTATTATTTATAAATTTTGATATTATTTATTAATTTTAATATTTTTATTTTAATAGAATGAATAATTAGAAGAATATTAAGAACATGTGGATACATTAATTTTTTGTCCTTCATCTTGTCCCATCTAGATAGGGAATGAGATGAGGATAGGAATGGGAATGGAAAACCACTTTGTATTGAGATATTTTTACTTAAATTTTCTTCATCATTAAGGACAAAATAAATTATGTGTTCTATTTTTAGTTATACATTGAGTTCTTTGAGAATTCTTGTTCAGATATAAATTTAAGGGAAAAAAAAGTGAGAAGAAATGTTCCCATTCAAAACTATGTTTGGATTGCTTAAGGGAAAAAAGAAGAAAAAGAAATTGCTTCTTGAGTAGAGATAGAAAAATAGCATGTCCAGTAATTAGGATATAAAAAATCTGGATTGATAAGTGATGAATGGAAATGTTGTATTAAAAATAATATAAGGATAATTCATATGAAAGAACGAAATAAATTGTTTATGCTTCCAGTATTCCAAAATAATGTTCTTCTTGTTTTTCCAAAACAGTTATTGGTAAGGAAGAGTATTATTTGAATGAAATGTATTTTTTTCTTCCACTAATTCCAATAATGCACGAGAAGATGGAAAATAGCAGTCTGTTTTAATTGTAAGATCACTTGTCAATTTATTAATTGCAGCAGTAAAGGTTAACTAAAACAAATTTCCATTGCCGGGATTTGAACCCGGGTCGCCTGGGTGAAAGCCAGGTATCCTAACCGGACTAGACGACAATGGAACTGTGATTATGCTATTACAATCATATTATCTATAGAAGTAACACGGAATGGATGGACCTAATTTTGTTTCTTCAAGTTGTTGTGGGAGAACTCTGCCTACTGATTTGTTGTCTCTCAGATTTGGTTGCAGTGAAGTTGACGAATCACTAAAAGATTGGCAGCGGTTCATCAGAACTCAGACTTGAATCCATCTGGTTGCCTTGGTAGCTGCCCGATGTCGAGCCTAACTCTGGTACGTGCTTTCATGTCCAAACCCATCCCATACTTCATCAAATACTCGTAGCTAATTTAAGTGTGTTAAATAGCTCAGATAAAAAAAATTCTGATTATCTTATCGAGAACCCAATTATTGAGATACTAATAGAGAAATTTAATTTATCTCGTCCTTCAAAATATAAATCACTTGTAGAGTTTAAGAAAATTGTGTCGTAGCTGTAGCCTTTTACATGTTTTTTTATTTTATTTTATACGCATTGTGAGCAACAAAATTAATTGTTTTCTGTTTTCACTACATATGAGTTTTGTTAGTGTAAACAACTTTATGCCGTGGCCTCGGGGCCGACACGGTTCGGATATGAATGGGCGGGGACCTCATACGACATTCCTTGAGACCATCAAGGTGGTTGATTATGGTAGTTCGATCGGGACGTTGTGTCGGGAGGGAAGCTTTTCCGCAGTGCCGGGAAGAAGTAACCCCGTCCTTGTACAGGCTGGGTCGGAAGCTCGGCCCGACCCCTCCGATGATCAAGTTAGTGATGGGAAGTGATATGTTCTTTTGTCTGTTTTTCTTCCCCCCTCCTCGTTTAGAACTCGGGGGTATTTATAGGAAAATTTAGTGTTACCTGATGTGCCTGCCCGCAGGAGCAGGATCGTACCTCTGATGGCGTTTGACATTACCGTTGGCGTTGCGTGAAGAACCGAACTGCCGTAGGGCATGGGCGTGCCTCGATCGTCGTTCTCCTCTGCCTCGGCCAAGTATGTTGGGTCAGACAACGTTTGAGGTCGTTGTCTGAGAGCGGATGATGTCAGCGCCCATTGCGTCGGCATTATTGCCCTCTTTAGGCAGAGTGTCGTCCAGGCGTGGCTGACGTCGTAGCGCGTCATGTCGTCATTATTACCCTCATCAAGTTTCTTGAGAAATATATTTTTTATATTAATTTATGAGAAAGAAAGTAAATTTGAATGTGTCAACTACCAAAAAGTGTAATCTACCAAAAATAATAATTTACCTTTTATAAAAAAAATATTAAATTAAAAAAATAAATCTAAAGAAAAAAATCAGTAATCTACCAAAAAGAGAAAAAATAATTCTAAAATAATTTTATGTATAAAAAATAAAAAAATTTGAATTGAGTTTATACTTCTAAAAAGAAGTTTGTTGTTGTTGAAAAGTCCAAATAAACAGTTGCTTCCATAATTCCAATATGTTTGTGTAAAATAATTTTTAGTGAGATGGTAGGAGCTGTCAAGGACAAGTAATTTTTTTGCTTCCACTAATTCTAAGATAATCCATGATAGTCAATTAGTAGTAAGATCACTTGTCTATTTATAAATTGCATTAAAGATAGAAAAATAAAATAAAATAAAATAAAATAGCAAAATGCTGCTTCCATATATCCAGTATAATTCTGTGTAAAATATTTTTTAGTAGAGAAATCTTTTCTCCTTCCACTAATTCCAAGATGTAGCTGTGAATTTATAATGAAGTTAAAATTGGAAAAACCAAAAGTTCCATTGCCGGGATTTGAACCCGGGGGTCGCCTGGGTGAAAGCCAGGTATCCTAACCGGACTAGACGACAATGGATTGATGTGTGGTTTGCTACGTGAAATCTAATTATGTTATGGTAACAAACGCTCCTTAGTCGGCAAAATAAATGTTTCCTACGCTGCATCAAGATTTGGGATCGGGGCTAAGTCCGGTTTGCTTTGTGATTCCAATTGACAACACGCAGACCCGATTTTTGACTTATTTATTTATTATTATTATTAATTCGTAATCTCGTCGTCTATAGAAGACGCCAAAACGAAGGAAAAAACTATATTTTTGACAGGCAAATTATACACAGTCAAATTTTCTTGAGGAAACGAAGCAGATCTAAACACGCTACTTCTCTGTCAAAACATCAAACAGTAGATGGGCAATTGTACACGCGAATTTGTAACAATGCGGAGTTTTTCTCAGCGAGTCGAAGAACAACAACCTTCGATCAAAACGTCGAACAACAAAATTTTTGTAGCTAAAAAGACAAAAGAGAGACTTTTTCTTCGTTTTTGGGTTATCTTGATGTGGAGAGCCTCTTCAGGCCTTCTCCTTGTCGATCTTGCTTCTCCGGACGCTGCCGTGAGCATTCCGTCTCGCGGCGGAGACCGGGCTATCGGTTTTGTGGAGCGAGAAGAGGTGGCCCAGGCCGAAGACTGACCCGGGCTTGGACGCGCCCACACGGAGCGAGCCGACCGTGAGCACGTTGAGAACCGGGACGACCCGGAGGTTGACGGAGTACGACCGCTCCATGCCGCGGTACGGCTTTCCCCGGTGTCGGTGGTGGAAACTGCCCGGGCTGCTCGAGCTCGACTCCAGCCCCTGGAACACCACCTTCCCCGACGCGTTCATACGGGGGCTGTCCACCGACGCCGCCAACGGCGACGGCTCTGCCGGCGCCCCTTCCGAACCCCGCCTCACCGCGCACCGTCCCTCTCTCGCCGCTCGGTGGCCCTCCGCGGTGTCGCCCCTCGGCCGGGCAACCCGGACACAGGAGTGCGCCCGGGCAAGCGAGATCGGCGCCTGGGAGGGCTTCTCCGCGTCGAAGGAGAACCGCAGGAGCTCGTCGTGGTCGGCACCCGAGGACGATGACGAGGAGGAGAGGGAGCGGCGGGCCGTTATGGAGACCGATGCCGGCTCCGAATCCGAGTCGTTGAGGAGCGGGGTGTTGAGGTAGCAGTCGTCGGCGGAGGGTTTCGGACGGCGTTGAAGGATATCGCAGAGCGATCTGGTGTTGGCATTCAGGCTCTTGGAAGGGTGCGGCGGCACCTTCTGGGACTCCGGCATGGGGTTCTGCTGCTGCTTCTTGAGACCGAGCAGTTTCCTCCACCGGCTCGAGCTCCTCGGCGCTCTGGGCGACTGTGCGCAGAGCTCCGATCCGTGAACCTCGGCCACCCGACGAGGCCTCTCCGCCTCCGGCAAACGGATCCCATCAGCCGGCTCCACATGAGGCCGCGCAGCCGCGACATGGAGCGGGACAAGCTTTCCGTCAGAGAAGAGCTCGTCGGCGGGCAGCATCATGACAGGATCGTCGAGGCGGAACTCAAAATCGGGTATAACCTTCTCCGAATCATCCAGATCCGCGGTTCCCGGCGGCGAGGTGGCGGGCTGAGGGTCTTGTACGTCATGGCCCGGGACGGAACCGCCGTCAGCGGGGCCGTCGTGGCTGAGGGAGATCCTGGGGCTAAGGAAGCCGTAGGAAGGGCACGCTGGGGCGAAGGCCGGAGGCATGGGGCCGTTGTTGATGCAGGCGGAGGCCATTCATCGGGCATCCAAGTCCGGCGAGGACCGGCGGCGTCCAAGACTGGAGACGCCAGGAGTGGTGGTGGTGACGATGAGATGCGACTAAATAAGCGTGCATTTTGATGGATGGGTGCCAACGACTTCAAGGCCATACGCGTGGCATCTCCCACGGTCTTATTTTTATGATGCGGCTAATAGTAGCAGATCATCCTATTTGGACGGTGTTGATGCTATTTTATCCCGTGCTATTTTTGAAATAGGATCTCATTTTCTTCGTCGGATTCGGGTTGGATCCATTTATAATAAAAAAAGTCCAATAATTCTAATTAATACTATACATCCACGGCGGCCTTTTATGTCAAAAAACACGTGCGCATTATGGTTGGTCGAATTGGTGCACGTGACAATGGCATCCGTATCCGTTTCGTCGTTATCCGTAACGGTCCTCGTCCGTCGTTTAACGACCCGACCTCCTATCTCTCAAACGGTGACCGCTATGACGTTGACCCTTCCTCGACGTGCGCGCTCCGTCAACTTACCGACACGAGTCGCCGCTCGTCGCCGCAGGAGGACGCTTTCCATTCGTCACCGACACCAAAGGGCACCAACATGACTACTCCGATCGAAAGCACCCAACGCTGTGAAGGCTCCAATGGAGTTCACCTAATAAAAGTCATGTGGCTTTCTTGACCCACCTTACAGAGAGAAAGGACAGAGCAAACCATCAGACACTGTTTACACCACAAGAGAACGCATCACCGCCTTCCGTTGTTCCATCCACCAACAGAGAAGAAAGGTAAAAGGTTGATGTGCCGAGTTCATCATCTCTGCACTGCAGTTTCAGATGCGATAAAAACTAGTTTCTCGAGTTTGAAGCCTCCTGTGAAAGGCCAAACAAGAAGTTGACGACTCGTCAACACTTCAGATCGATTAGGATACTCAGACGAGTTCTATAATCTTTGTTGTCAATGTTGAGAACCACTGGGAAATGGTGGTCCGATGGCCCATCATAAAGAGAAAAAGCTTGTCCCAAACCACTCATCCATCACCAGAAAAAGTGGGCCGAAAAGTGATGGAAGGGTGAAGAATCATTACATACACAGTTCTCATGTTTTGGATGGAGTTTCATGGTGCCTTCACTTTGCAGCAGACAGAAAGGTGCTCATCCACTCCTTGCAGATTTTGCAACTCCTCATCATTGACTGTACCAGTGTTCATAAACAGTAGAAGGGCAGCTTTACTTTATACATTTCAGCAGCCTTTTCCATTGACATGATGTGGACTTGAGAATCATTGCCAACATAGTCTCGGCTAAATATTTATCAGCTAATATTTTGCATGTACAAAGATTCTATTGGTGAACAATTACGAATAGTTTTGGCAAAGGGTAAAATGACAAGGGAGATACATAAATATGGTAAAATGTGTGCAGCATAGCATATGCTTCCAGACAAACTCTTAAGCTGTCGAGCTATATATATTAGATTATAAGTAGTGTCATCCTCCTCCTCATATGCTACTGCAGCACCACCACCTTGGCTCAGAAACATAAGAAAACCGATACCAAGTACTGATGCATGCAGATCTTGTTGTCGATTGGATCACACGCATGGATATTCATCTTGTGCATGTGGTCATTAGCTGTGGAATCTCAACAGAAATAGTCCAAGCTAAGCTTCCAGGAAAGTTCTTCGGCAATCTCATTGTTATCTGCACAGCATTCTATACAACAGATGGTGGAGCTGCAACACAACAAATGACACATAGAAAAAGATGATGACAAGCTTGCAGTATGCTGTCTGCAAGCTGAACTCACAGTGCACAAGTGGAAAAGGAAGACTCTCTCTCGATCGAACATGTACAGAATATGGTTGATAACCTAAACATATGCTGTATACGTCTTCAAGTCAGAGAAGTGAGATACGGAGGAAATCAATGTTCTTGAAGAAGCTGCTAGCTGCCATGATTCTTTAGTGTATCCACCTTCCATGCTAAGAGACATTAAGACACAGCTCTCTATCAACAGAGATGCAGGTTCTCCCTGCACTGTATGTTTGATGTCCCCCACATGCATGCATGTGTTTGCTACCGTAGGATATATATAGATATATATAGTAGCTGTGGAATCTCAGTGAACCTTGGTTGACTAATAGATCAGTGTTTCTTAATCTTAGGTCAATGAGATTGATGGCGCATGCATCCAATGCTCTTCTTCATCAGCAACTAATGTCAAGGCTAAGCACAAGATGGATTCATTCTAGATAGAATAGCATTGTGAAAGAAAGGAACAGTCGTATGTCATAAAGAAACAATCTTAGCATTGATTCACCCTCTAATTAATATATACATGATCAAAGAAAGCAAAAGAAATCACAAGCTGCAATGCTGTTTGTGAAATCCAATCCCTTCAATCTTAAGCCACAAGGCAGATTGAGTCAAACTTGAGCTAACTCCCCATGTTAAGCTCTCTAATACGGAAATCAAACAAAAAAAAAACCAGTAAAAATACACAAACGGTTATTTATAAGTTTCAGATTCACTTCGACGGTTGTCGGAATTTAGTGGACCGGCGACGTGGACGATCCCGTGGACGCCGTCGTCACGGTGGTGATGGTCGTCGCCGACGACGTTCTCGGCGTCATCACGTGCTTCGGAATCACCGTCGGAATCGGACACTTGCTCCTCCTCTCGTCCTCCTTGATGAGCTCACCGGCGAGCCATTCGAGCTTCTCGGCATTAGTTTGCTCGGATATCTTCTTTCCCCTGAAGAGCAACGACTCCACGTTCCTCTGCGACAACAGCTCCTCTGCCGCTTCCATCGACCGACTCGAATTCCTCGTCCTCGGAATGCAATTTCCCGACGCGAATCCGTTAGCCTGGAAAAAGAGTGATCGAATGGCAGTGAGTCCACGCTGAGTACAGACAGAATTGCCGTAATTAACAGACGGATCGCTCTTACAAGCCACAAAATAGTACCTGGATGCGCACATAGTTGCTTGTTCTACGCTGTCCAAACGCCATCGCCACCGCTTGATCCACCTGATTAAGATGAACGAAGATTATAAGCCGTCCATTTTGCCTTCTTTAACTGTTTATTTATTTGTTTATTTATTTATGATGTGCGAGCCAATTATTCGATTTTGAGGCTCGGATGGGTTGCATTTCGCTTGGTTGAGCGATATAATCTTGGCCGTCCAATTATTCGATTTAGAGAGAGTTCCATCAATCGGACGGTCCTGATTAGTTCTCCACCGATGATTCCAAGCAGGCGGGAAAGAGGGTAAGCGAAGAGAGAGAGAATGAGAGGGGGGGTCCGCCGTACGTACCATATCGGAGACGCCCTCCCCCGCGATCCTGACGAGCTCAGCCGCACCCGACGCGGGCGCGCTACCGCCGGCACCGAGCGAGACGAGCAAGAGGTCCTCCACCCCGACGGCGAATGGGAACTCCTGCCGGTTGTGCAGAACGTGAGTGATGGCCACCGCCGCGGGGTTCGCCAGCGCCACACCGCCGCCCACGGCGGCGACCCGCGTCCGCCCGTCCACCGACCGCAGCTCCACTGCGGTGGCACCCGCGTCGGCGCACGTGGCCGCGCACACCTCCCTGATCCGGAAGTCGTACGCGTCCGCCTCCACGGCGTCCGCCCTCGAGAAGACGAAAGGCGCCCCGGTCGCGAGGTCGTAGCACGGGATCAGGACCGGCTTCACGGTGTCCCTCAGCGTCGATTCCCCGAAGATCCGCCGGAACAAGCCCCCCGATCGCCGGAATATCCCCCGAAATAGGCCCCTCCTGGCGGAGAAGCCCCCAACGCGGCGGCGACTCTCTGCGAGGAGGAGTCGCAGGGCGTCGGCGGCGGAGAACAGGGGGCGGCCGTCGTACCCCTTCGTAAAGAGTAATGCAGCGAGGACGCCGCCAGAGCCGGACCCGGCGGCGACGTCGAAGAAGTCGGCGATCCGTGCAGAAGGATCGCCGGAGCGGAGGCAGAGGGACGATTCCAGCCGAGTGAGAGCGGCCGCGGCGAGGAGGCTGTCAGATGGGCGGTCGCCACCGTCAATGGACAGGATCCGGACCCTGCCGGCGCCCGAAGGGGTCCGCGGGGAAGCGGCGGAGGAGGAGGGGAAGACATGCTTCTTCGGGTCGTCGAAGCCGAGGAATTTGCTCTCGAGGATGGAAAAGATCTCGTAGCTGAGCTTGTCGGCATCCACGATCGCCATCGAACCGAACCGGGTCGAATTGAACCGAACCGAATCGAATTATTTGCCGAAGCAGGACAGAGATCTCGAAGCGCGGCGGCGGATGACTTGAGGAAGCGCGGAGCCGCATCGCGTCGCTTAAATAGGCCGGGGAACCCGGCGCACGTTAGCGGCGCCCCGTGGGCCTGGTCCCAGCGGGTGCTGCGCGCGATCCTTCGCGAGGTGCGGTGGGGACCGTCGGATGTGGAGCCGACGGCTGAGGATCCGGGAGTGGGGAGATGCGCCGCGGAAGGTGGGAGGAAAGGGGGGGAGGGGGTCGGTGGAGGGGATCCGGCTACGAATCGGCGAGGGTCCGCACGTGCGGGAGGTCCCCCCGGAGTCAGCCACCGACGGCCTCGGCAGGCGAACCCTTGCGATCGGACGGACGAGATCGGCGGATCGGAGGGATGTGTCGGCGGAAGACGAGACACAGCCGACGAGTTGCGCAACGTGGCCTCGCATCGCGCTCTCCGGTCACCGTAAAACGACAAAGCACAGAGGAGAGAGGTGAGTACGTGCTCATTCCATGTGCATTTGGATCGACTTTACCCAATTAACAATTGCAACAATAATAGCATGTGTTTTAGATTAGGGTTAGTCAAAAGCATCCAACGAAATCAATTAATAAATCAAACATAATGATTAACAAGTTAGATTACATTGGTTTAGTCTTGATTTTGACATTTGTGATCAACAAGAACATGGATCTTAATTAGTAATTATGTTATGACATAGGGAACCAGATAGTTGGAAAATGCTTATATATATGCTACAAATTTGATGTGCTTGATCTCCAATTGTTGGAAGGAATCATGTGATGTGGTGTCAGGCAAAGTCTTCACTTCCTGGAGGGGTTGATGGGGGGCAAAAACAACATGAATATTAGTATACTGCCACATTTTGGCACACCAGTGTATTGATATGATCCAAATTGACAATTTAAAAGAAGAATTTTCCCTAAGTCATTTCTTGGAGGGGTTGATGGGGGGCAAAACAATAAGGATATTAGGATAATGCCACAGTTTGGCACACCAGCAAATTGGTATTATCCAAATTGAGTATTATAAAGAACAATGTTCCCTTTGTGAATGATCTGAACACCCCCATGACAATTTCTGTATCTCCAAAATTTTCTTTCTATCACGCAACTGACTTCATGATCCAACTTGTACATTATGCTCTCATAACCATTCTAAATGCTGCTCGTCTCATATCTGTCTCATTGACCAATCCTTCGACATTGTGGATCGTACTCTGTTCTTTGATGCATTGAACGTGTGATCGAGCGTTAGGTTTGAGTGGATTGAAAATAGTTTAGAAAGGCTACTTTGTTATATATGTGAAGGGTTGGTGCAAAGCATTGTATGATAAAAAATGAGGAACCAACCACCTTATTCCTCCTACTTCTAAAGAAATTCCCTTGGCAGCACACGGGGCCATCAAGAACTTGTTAAATATTTCCATAACATGTTTATCTATTTATTTATCTTCATGATGTGTTAATCTTCTTGTTCGTGGCATTTTCCTCCATTAATTATTGTACCTTTTCCTTTTTTTCTCTAACCTCATGTTTCTCAATCATCATCTCATTGAAGAAGTGTTCTAGTTAGGTACGTTAGCTGACATGAAACCGATTATAGAAAACCTTAGATCAAACTCAAGGATCTAGTCAATTACATGAACAACATGCATTTATGTAGTTGGCTGTTAAGATATGAGATAAGAGAGAGAAAGATGAAAGGAGAGCAATAGGAGGAAAGAAACATGAGAGATTAGTCCTTAGATACAGGTAGAGGTACGACAGAGATATAGATCTAACTTTAGACTTGTTTATCTTAAATTGGCAGTGACATATGGCTTAATAATAGAGTTTTAATTTGTCCACTTAACATGAAAGTAAAGCCTTATATTCTCTCAACTCAAATTTGTTTTCCATGTATATAAGGAGAAACATAGAATAGATATAGATACGTCATGATCAAATAGAGAATGTTGATAAAGGTTCATCCGCAGTCAATAGACCATAAATAATGTCAAGACCAGTACATACCTATTGCATTGACTGTAGAACTAAACAAGTTTGAGGAAAAATTCTAAATCTTTATTGGATTATCAAGGAGGAACATGAAGTTATCTGAGAGCCAAAGAAGACAATAATTTCCTTAGTGAATGAGAAGAAAAAAATATATATTTTGTATGGTAATTTTTAGATGCTTAGGTGTCAGTTTTTCTGAATTTTTATTTTGATATGACTAGTTTGTGTTTGCATCCCAGTGGGGCAGAGGTCAGGTCCAAATCAAGCAGTAAATTAGGTGGTCCCGTCATATAAGACTTGAGGAAAAAGAAGTTTGCATCCCCCATTTTATGTAGAGGCATGGAGATTATATGAGTACAAATATAGCATTCAATAAAGGGTTAGAAGATATCATCTCTATTAGTAAGGAACATAGCTAACTTGGTCTGTGAGAAAAGAAATAAACTCCCACCAAACAAAATTCTAGTCTGATCATTTAGCTTTTCAAAACATTAAAACAAATCTAAAAAATATCATAGATAAATCCTTTTAATCGGGTATAATAGGATTTGTGGAACTTGCAATCCTCTTTATTTGTTTGCCTTATACTTCATCATGATATCAGATCAAGTCTATCGATCCTCGACTTTGATACCATGGAGTGAGAGCAAGAAAATAGAGCTGCACATGATAAACCCTGGAAGATAAAGGTAAAATTCATCAAAGGACTAAAAGAGATCAATTGAAAAATTAATGTCAAACCCCAGAGGATAAATGTGACACTCATTAAGGGATTTAAGGAGATAAACTAAAAAGTTTCATGTTTAAACAAGCTGGGGTGATTGTAACTTTATCCTAGCCAATGAGATCTAAATGCTTCAAACAAACAAATAAAATTTCTATACTATGAAAAATAAAACAAAGAAAGATAGGAGGTGCTAGGTCGAAAATCTATATTAAGAACACATTGTCATATAGTTACATATCCATTTTTACTTGTAATTAAGTTCAAATGTCATCTTTTACTAAGAATAAAAACAAGATAGTTACTCTGTACAACATAGTAATCGAATAAGCCAGTAGTTAAATAATTAACAGATTTGATAACAATATAATCAAAGTTATTTTCACTAATTAGTTACTGTATAAAGTTTTGAGTCTGAGATGAAAGCCATACTTATTAAATGTTCTAGAGTTCAAGTGTCAGCATGAGCATGAGATCATTCTTTAAATTGCATTTCCAAGCTAAATGCAGGATTACAGAAGTTATCAGAACTTCTACCAGCTTAATTTAGCAGCTCGTTCTTCATATTACTATTGCAGATCGCCACTGGACATGACTGCACCTTTCAATGTAAACCATCACAAAGTTTGCAAGCTAAACAGGGTATAAATTCTCTATCAGAAAGAATGATTAGGTAGAACCAATTAATAAAGTTGAACTGATCTGACCTTTTCAAGGATCTTATGATGTTTGTTTACCTAACCTTATCTTTATTCTATAAACGTACTGCCCAAAGAAAGTAGAAGGAAGAGTTGCCAGCATGTACATCATAATCTAAACTAATCCTTATTAGGACACAAGTTAATGGCATCAAGAACATTAGTAGCTCACTGTCTGGCATAAGAATCCAATGAACATGAGTTCTTCCAGTGATTACTTGTACAGAAGAATTAGTCCTTTGAGAGTGATCTGAACTGAAAGTGACATTTCTTCTAATTCATGTTAATTGGTGTACTATTGAGCATCTTTGGGGAATTTACACAGGAAAGCTCTTTTCTTCAATCATCCTTTTTTTATGTCCTTGGTTGTGTTCTATCATGGTAACCATTGTTGTCGCTGATACCAATTTATTGGGATGAAAATGATATGATATAAATTCTTAACAACAAAGGCAGATGCTGTGCACGTAAATTCTTGGAAGTTGCATTATGTGACATCAGTCTAGTATTGGTCGATTCTTGATAACACTGCTCCCAGAATGTATGTTGTCTATGGATTACATCCTGAAGGATGAAAGGACCATGGCCGTGCAGCAGTACGGTTAGGGCATCACTTCCTCATGGGGACACATTTTTTAGTGCTCTTGATGACAACCCACCAACCAACGCTTGTGGCATCAACCAGGCAATTCAATATGCTCGGGAGAAATAAATGTAGTTACTGCAAGTCCCAGTATATCATGTTTGATTGTCTGTGGCAGCAGGAGTTAACCTCTCTCTCTCTCTCTCTATATATATATATATATATATATATGTATATATATGTATATGTATATGTATGTATATGTATATGTGTATATATATACACATATATGTATACATATATATATACATACATATACATATATATACACATACATATACATATATATATATATATATACATACATATATATGTATATATATATATATATGTATGTATGTATGTATATATATATGTATATGTATGTATATATATATGTATATATATATGTATATATATACATACATACATATATATACATATACATACATATATATATATAATATAATATAATATAATATAACGTTTTTAGGGTTTTTTTAGAAAATTAACGTAATATATATGTACGTTTATGTAAAATTTAAAGTTTTATGGAGATATGTTAGGAAATTTTAAATTATAGAAATAAATACACAATTTTAGAACACAGATACAAGGAAGGATTGGCTGTCTCTACATGTTTGGATATGAATTCTCACAAACAAATGATCCCTTTTAGCAATTACTAAAAGTCATTGATCAAACCACTGCTAATACAAGCCACAACAACTATTGATCAAACTAAATTAAAGAAACAATAAGCTATGTTTAATCATTTTATTATTAGGGCACTTAATTTGAGGGGGCATGGAAACAACAAGCAGAACCCTACATTAGATAAGTAGATCGCCCATGGGGCAATACAACTCTGGTGTTCTGGGTGAACTTTCAAGCTTAAAGTTTGGATTCAGAAAAGAAGAGAAAAAAAAGAAGGCAAAAGAGCACGTAACATGAAATGAAAGTGACAAATCTTTTTTTATGATGTCTCGACGAACCGCACGTTGCGTGGAAGCATGAACTCCACGAAGATGGGATAGTGAGATGATGGGTAGAAGCTGTCTATGTTATCGTTCACCACTTCACAGGATGCAGGAACCAGTGACCGCCCTCGGAACAGGATCCAGTCGACATGCAAATCCTGAGTCTGGCGATCCCAGCAGAGGCAAAGAGCTCTAAAGATCAGCTTTAGGAATTCCAAAGCACCTTGTTTGTCACCTGCAAGACCATACTGTGATGAATAAATGCTAGAGAATGTCTACCGAGCTCTTTGATTATCTTGGTGGGAAAATTTAAAGGACAGAAAAGTGGATAATATGAAATCTTTTCTCAGCTCAGCAAAAGAAAATATCAAGAAGATAAAATGGCTTACCTTTGAACCCATGATATGTGCGTATTAGAGAGATATTTTTCCGAACCCGAGCATTTGGCCAAGCATCTCTCATATCGCCCACGACTCCATGCTCTCTGTTATTAGATCATGAAAAACAATTACCTAATGAGTGATTGACTTAATAGACAAGATAAAAGTATTAAACTATGGCAAGCGACAAGATTGAACATTACAATGCACTCTAAAACAATATTGGGAATGGCAATGGGTAGACTTGGGACTCATTTGTGCATATTACAAAGAGCTAGAAAAAAAAACTCTTGGGTGGTGATGACACAAAATAAGCAAATCCGAAACAAGGATGTTGCCATAAATGTAGCCAGATATTACCCAAGTGAAAGAGTCAGACATGATTTCTTACCGCAAGCAACTTGGGAGTGTTAACAGATAGAAGGAAAAAAGAAAATGCAAAATGAGTCCTTGGCTGGCTGTTAAATCTGAAAATACCAACATGAAGAGACTCAAAATTAGTTTTCAAAGGATTGACATGAAGAGCATCCCCCAATGGAACTCAATGTGTCTATTTGATTTAGATATTTCATTGTCACTGCTGGCTATGGTACCTCATCAATAAAAGAAATAAATCCAAGTCCGCTTTAACAAATTATGATCATTTTTCATAATGTAGTCCTTGTTGATGAGCAATTCTCAAGTACATTTAATAAAGTACAAAATCAAAATAAAACCTCTAGCTTATCTATAGGAGAAAAAATTTCATTACTACAGAAAACCATCTCACTTGTTCATTCAACCGTCATACATCTTAATTGAAGATTGAAGCTAGAAGCAATTCAGACAAAACAGTCAGACCGATTGTAGTGGCAATCTAGAAGAAAGATGACTTTCAAATCAACAACATGCAGACTTTCTGCTTTGCAAATAACTTCTAAACATTCACAGTCCATATGTAATCTAGCCAAATAGATGTTGAAGCACATATGTTCTAGAGGATCATGAATACCAAGTCTAACATTTAAGAGAATAAGAAGAGTGAAAACAGATTAGAAGTTGCAACATCCAGAAGACAATAATTCATTAGTTGATAATGCTCTATTCCCTTATAAAGAGAAAAAAATATATTATATATGATTGACATTTTTACTGAGTCAGCAATATGGGTAAAAAAACTCACAGGAATCACTCGAACTGCAAATCCATAAACTGATCAGCTTAAAAATGTCATAACCTACAAAGATGGGTACACATCATGTTTTACAATTTACCTGGATCTCCCGAGCAAAAACCGCCCTGTAGTTGATTCCTTTTGAGTATTAAATCCTCCACAATATACAACAGGCAAGTTTGGTGGCAAAGAAGCTATGTGTTGCCAGGTGAGCAAGGCACTTCGTCTACGTGCACGAGGACTGAATTCATCCAGGTTTGTATTCACGATTTGGAAGCTGAATCCTGGTGGCTCAACTCTCTTGAGTTGAAATGTGTGCAAAGCAGGTCAAAGTAACAAATAGCAAAAAAAGTGTTTGCAGGTTCCACGCAATCAAATATCAAAGATTATAATATATTTTAACAACAAATTATGAGAGGATATCGCCCAAGTAGCAATGCATGGCACTGTGGCTCCCCATGACATGCTCCCTGGAACAGAGGGTGATTCTGACAACCAGAATGTACCACCTTCAAGAAGCTCAACCTTCATCAAATCCAAGAAATCGTTCAGGGACAACAATGACATGATTACTAAAACTCAGAAAGTAATAGATTCTCTTAGTAATAGATTCTATGAGAAACCCAATGAAGCAAAGGCAAGGGAAAAATATAAACCTTGTCCTTATCATAGAAGATTGTGCAATATTCATCTGAGGTGTCTTGAGATCCTTTCCTTGAAATACCAAATTGTTCATATGCTGGATATTCACACTAGTTAGTGAAAACAACCACCACTATAAGCTGAGCTTATTTCCGGAGATAAAAATGTGCTATCAAATGTCGTCAGCAAAATAATTCCCATATACACAGTTAAGATTGAAAGAAAATGGTAAAAGTTATAAATTATAATACATTAGGAAAATTTGTTTCTAAGGTATATTATCAGCCTCTCTCCATGTCAAACATAAATGTCAGTTGAAAAATCTAGCAAGACAGAATAAGTGGAATTAAATTGCATCCTTTTGCCCTAATGTCACAGACAAAGTTATAAACAAGTTGTTCAATGTAATGCTCGTGTATACCTGTGTCTTTTGGTTTTGTTCATGCTTTGCACAGCATATAGAGGGCTTGCAGTAGATTTGACAACCCCATTTTAGTTGATTTTTGTAACCATTTCAGGCTTGTAAACGGAAGTTGTGTGCAGTCATCATGCAAAGGCAAAATTGCCCAAAAACAAGCCATTCAGACAGTCATTTTGGGGGTTTACTAGCCCCGTAGAGTGGTGCGAAGTGTCAGCCAGCACAACACCCAGGGGTTACTGAGGGTGGCATATGGCTATATGAGCCTTTGGGGTAGTGTCTAGGGTTGGTTCACTGCGTTGTTTCGCATTAGTGTCATGTGAGCATTTGTGGGGACTTTTGGCCGCGGCGGACCACCTTGGACCCTTTATCGTGCGATCATTCAGAGCTTGTGAAATCTATATTTGTAATTTGCATTGTCTATCAAATGTTTGCTGAAATGGCTGATAGTGGATCCCGAGTTAAACGCTTTCTCTAACTCGTCTTCTCTTTTCTAGATAGATCCTTAAGGGGACTACAAGAGGTTTCGGGGAAACTAACTTTTTGTGGATGGACACGCAAAGGTGCCGCACGACTTAGGTAAAACCAGCTAAGTTCATGACAGATGATATTAGAGCAAGACAAGCACACTTAGAAACACTTAGCATGCAAACGGGGACTCAACGGGGCTGCATTGAGGGCAATCAGTACGCGCAACCATTTGGGAGAAACAAGCATTGAGATGTAGGGAAAGGAGCCGCTTAGAGGAACGGGCATTCGAGATTGGCATTCAGAGGAATGACAAACCCTTCGCACAAGAGGCTGTTAGGACTCTAGCTTGGAGAGTCCTAATTGAGAGGGACATTCATGTAAAACGGTTAGGACTCTAGCTAAGAGAGTCCTAATTGAGAGAGACATTCTATTAGGACTCTAGCTAGGAGAGTCCTAATTGAGAGGGGCATTCATGTAGGAGGTTTTTTCTTAGAGAAGAATTAGGAGTTGTAAGGGAATAGGAGTCTTGAGTAGGAGTCCTATTAGGAGTTGGTTAGGAGTAAGAGTCTTAAGTAGGAGTCCTATTAGGAGTTAGGGTTTAGAAGCCCTATAAATAGCTATGTATTCCTTCTCTTTTCTTAAGCAATAGATGAATCTTTTCTGCAGCCTTTGAGCAGCAACTTGGAGGGAGGAACCCCTATAGAGTTCCAAGGAGGCCGATCCCCTAAAGAGATCAACCCCAAGTTTAGAATCTGCAAGGGTTCTAACACCTGGTATCAGAGCAGCGTTCTTGGCGTCTCGCTGCCCTTCCACAGCCATCCATCAACCCTCCACAACCGTCCAAAGCAATTCCCACAATTGCTTAAAAGATCGTCACCGAATTCCGCCATCATCTCCACCACCGCGGATCATCCTTTGATCTCCCCGTGAATTGCAACAGGTTCTGGTTTCCTACCTTACTGCTGCTGCAATTTAGTTATCCTTATTCGAAAATCCAAAAAAAAAAAAATTGTTCCTATATTGCTGCATAAACTTTTCGTCACAAAGTTTTCATCTCTACGACGAATGATACATTGCAAAATCCCAGCCGCATAGCACCATCTGTTTGATCTTGCTACTATGCTTTTTCTATCCAATTTTTTACGAAATTTTTATGACATCTTTGACACTTCCTAATAGTGGATTTCCCTTTGGTTTCATCAAAAAATTCTCAATATAAACTGCTGATCTTTTATGTCCAATCTGCTACACTTGAATTGTAGAATTCAAGCCGCATAGCACCATCTGTTTGACTTGCTACTGTGCTTTTTCTATCCAAATTTCTACGAAATTTTTATGACATCTTTGACACTTCCTATCAGTGGATTTCCCTTTGGTTTCATCGAAAAATTCTCAATATAAACTACTGATCTTTTATGTCCAATCTGTTGCACTTGAAAATCTATGCTGCAGAAAATTTCAGTCGCATATTGTTGCCTTAACCCATCTATTTGCAATCTTTTTTGAATGAAATTTCTTATACACTTTATAGATCATCTTGGCTTCCATCTAAGATTGATTTATTAAGAAATTCATCTCAAAAAAACGATTTTGGGTTGCTGCAAATTTTCGTCGTTACCCGCTGAAATTTCTCGACGAGAATTCTGCAAGCGCAACTTGCACCAATTTCCTTGCTGTTATACTGCCGAAATTTTCTTGATTAAATTAGATATCCTTGCTGTCATATAAACTGTGATTTTTCTATCAATTTCCTCCTCAATTCTCTCAAGTTTTTGTTAGAAATTACGTCGAGAAACCGTTGTTTCTTCGACGACAATTCTACTCTTACAAGACAGCACATACTTGCTGCAACTTCCACTTATTTCTATCAAACCTTTGCTACCATCTACCACAGATCCAAAACTTTCATCTACAGCCCTAAAACTCCACCAAACCACACCCTCAAACTGCACCCAAAACAGCCA